AATAGTTTGGGAACAATACTCGGTTGGGGTAAACGACGGAACTCAGCCCTCTTCGGGACCGATGTGTTACATCAGGCACAGGTGCCCATCGCCGACATCAACGACTGTAAAGCCGTTTACGAAAACTATTTCATATCAACTAATATGGTTTGCGCCGGTTATAAGAGGGGTAAAGTAGACAGTTGTGCCGGTGATAGCGGCGGACCCCTTCTCTTCAGCAAAAAGACCACCACTGATGAGAAGACTACAGAGAAATGGTTTGTTTACGGAATCACCAGTTTTGGTGAGGGATGCGGACGGAAAGGCAGATACGGAATATATGCTAAAGTATGTGTGCATTGCATATGGTTTGGAAAATTGTATTTTTATTAATTTCTTTATCTTCTTTTTCACACAATTAGGTCCCAAATCTTGTGAAATGGATTCGGAAAACAGTTCAACGAAATGTAAAATAAAAACACATATTTTTGATATATATTTTTATATAATATTTCAACTGTGATATAGATTTAATGTTTGTTAGGTTTCCTGAAAAATAGTGTTTCACTTAATCTATTAATTTTTTGACAAAAAATTAACTTTTAATATCATTTTGTAATCTTGTTTATAAGGCTAGTCAGAGATCTACTAAACAATAAATTGTTTAAAATTTAATTAATATAACATTTTATACATCAGCCATTCATTAGCCCTTAAAGTGTATATAATATAATTATTTCATCGATATTTCATTTATAGACATTAATTTTATGTAAAATTATAACTTAATATCACAGATATTTAAATAAAACTTGATTAAATAATGTAAAATAATTAAACAATAATTTATTTATTATAATTTGATGTAAAATTCTCAGAAATAAAACAATAAAAACTTAACAATAATTAAATTGTTTGAAACTCTTATTAATAACTTTTGAAGCAATTATTATATGCAAACAAAAATATTTATGAAAATATATGCCATTGATTAACAGGATTAGTAAAATCAGAGCACATTTCTGACCAGTGATCTCTGCCCTGCGGTGATGGACACGACTGTCCGATATGTGTTCGTCCCAACAGATGCTTATTCACAAATGTATGCGATTTTCCGTAGACAGCGATACTTATGACTAACTATAAAATATAAACATAAAATATTTAATATTAAATTTTAAATTGCATAAAAATATATAGTAATTACATCATTGAGTGCCTCTTTCGCTACATTCACTTGAAATGTATCGTTGAAATCAATTTCGGAGACAACCTTTCGGAGAGTTGTTTTACGACTTCTTATGCGCTTTCTTTTGACATACAAAACGATTTTCATATAAACTATTAAAATATAATCACAAATTGTTAGCGTATTATTCATTTGAATCAAACAACTGTATACTTGTTTCAATCTCTTTGTCGTATATATTCCTCACTTTAAGAGTACCCAAAGTAAAACTCGAACAACTCGTGTCGTATCCGAGAGAAAGTAGGATTTCACCCGAGGGTCGGCTCTAATAATGATTTATTTCTAATATAGTAAAGCAAATTCACTTTGGATTATACCTATAATTGACTTACATTTATGAGAAAACAAGTGATGTCTTCAGTCATAACATCTTTACTGATATCGCTGTGAATATCAGCCATTTTTAACGGGAATAAAGTCCTTCCGATGACATGTTTTCTTGAGAAAGAGTCCGAATTATAAACTTTGATTTTTAATACTCTGTCGCTTAGAGTTTCTCTTATGGCTTGAAATATGAAGAGATCATTGAATACTGGATTTGCAGTATTTTTCTGCACTTTTGTGACAAATGTTGGATTCTTTTCGGGTAAGAGAACTACTTTTGCCATAGGATTCAAATGATGACCACGTTATGTTCTTCACTTTTCGGGACGATTGCACAGAAACGGCATCCTTTGCCGTAAAGCTGTTCCGCAGATTTGCCTCATTTTGTTTGTCCATTAAATTCAGTTTTATAATCGTGTCGTATGTCTTCCGCCGCCCCCTATGCGGCAAATCACACGCTTTATCCAAATGTATGTTAAGCCTAAACCGTATAAAATTATGTAATCATAAATGTTTCGCTATTTGCATGTAATAAAAATTTATTTCCTATAATAAATGTTAACGATTTTGATATCAGATAATTGTATTGACAAATTTAATGCTCAAACTTCTTGACGCACTTTCTTAACACCATATTATATTTAATATATCATAAAAATGTATATAAAAAACCTCTTTTTCTTTTGATCATAGTTTGTAGAGAAGGATAGCGTCCCGAAAGTGAGTGTTTCGTCAACCGATGAATTCTCACTCTTATCGGTCATACACTTTGGTTGACAACTCATTTCTCCCTCTTCTGTGATCGAACTTCTTTCACATATGGCTTAATGTGTTTCCAATTATAATATGTTTTAAGACATTTGTCATTAGATTTGCCGTAAAAGAAATTTGTATTATTTGTTACCATTATTGAGGACTTCCTTATAGAGCGATAGCTTAATACTGGACACAGAGTTAGTCCGCTCTAAGAAGTAGTCAGTACTCGAGAATTTGATGATTCTTTGGGGCCATTCGTGACTCTTTCCGACCATTGCTCGCGATATATCTGAATGTCTTCTTTGTGTGAATTGTGGTAAACCGATGGGACCGTCATCTTCAGCGATGGTCGACGCAGATGTCAGCGAATCTCTCTTCAAATTCTTGAAACTTGGAGAAAGCGATTGAACTAAAGGTTCGTTATTTGAGTAAATTCTTGAATAATTAGTAATTAATATAAAGCTTTATATAAAGCAATTTAACCTAAAATAAGATCTTTTAATATAAATAAATTGAATATTGAAGTCTCAAAAACATTAAAAATCAAATTCTAATATAAATTCAGAGATTTGAAAAAAGCTTTGATAAAGACCTGATTGGGTTGAGAAGCTTCTCTGTGGGACCCAAAAGCGTAAGATTTCGTGGTCGTCGTCATCCTCTTTGGGTTGGTTTTGAGGAGTCCTTCTGTGCAGACAATCCCAAAGTCTGCAATTCTGTAGACCTGTATACAGATTATTGAGATAATAATTCGGACACATATTTGAATGTCTGGATAGGAATCGAAATGAGAATCGGATTCATTAGAGCTGTCGATGGCATTAGAAAATGTGGTGAAAATAGCGGTCGCATAAAGTTTTTTTCCCTGTAATCACTAATCAATGATTTGTAGCGATAATGTGGGCGGCAATCAACCATTTAGTTCATTATACGTAAGACCATATCGTGTACAACCATTATATTGGTCTCTAAATGTCAGCTCATTATTATTAGTTAGCGTTATATTGTATTTAAAAAGTAAAGTACAGCAGCTTTTAGTGTTGGGTTAGCTTTGAAACAGATGGCAAAGGAGGTGGAGGAACACCAATCCATTTCAATCATATACACCGCAAGTAATACAAGTATTCAATGTATGAACAGGTGTCTCAAAATTGTACAATTAATTCTGACCTTTCTTTACATATAAAGTTTGCAAATTAATTGCATTTCTCTCTACTCTCGAGTGCTTTTGCATTATATTATATGCAAAAGATTGCCAATAAAACGCTAATTCTGTGATCAATTCAACAATACTTGTGAAACAAATTAATCACTTGTTTTTTAAACATCCTATTTTATTGAATTAATATTTACGATATAAACGCAAATGTGTGGTTGTTTTGAGATTAATATGTTTTTCAACTTCAAACAAACGCTATTTTTATTGTTTTAAAAACAGTAACTGTTTTTTTGCTGTGTTTAATGAATTTTTAGTGAAAATCATAAATCATTTAATAATCAGTCGTTTAAAAGATATGGTTCTACACATGAAAATAATTTTAATTAAAAGTCTGGTTAAAGTCAGATCTGCGGACGTCATTCGTAACCCTTATAAAATTATTTAACCTTAAATTTTACATTAATATATTTTTTGCTAAAATTGGGTTAAAAGACAATTAATTAGATATATTGAACACAAATTGAAGAGTCAGTTGGCTTTTTATATATAAAAGTATTATATTTTTTGATAACAATTTTATGGCAAACAAATCAATTAATATGGTTAACCAACAGAAGCTTTCAAAAGTATAATTTATGCCCACATTTTACTGATAACCGCCAACTAATAAATAGCATTATTCACACCTGTATTGCACATATAGTGTACTATATTTTTCCTAATTTATCCTCAATTGTTAATTATTACAACTTTCTCTCATTCCCTCTCATTTACTAATTGAAATAATCACACAAATAAAGTGCTGTAATAATCGGTCAGAATTTAAATTCATTGCTAATGTAGTGCTAAAAAGCTGTGGTTTTGAACAAGACTTGTGACAAATCTTTTTGTTTCACAATTTACTTTGAAAAAAGGATTTACAAATAAATTAGGGCTTAATTTCTGAGAGCAACTCTCCATTGACGTCAAACAGACATTACATTTACCACAAAATACATTATATGAATAATAATCATAATAATAATAATTACAAACGACTTGAATGTGACAAACAATTTATGGTTATTTAAACTCCAGATACGAGAAGCAATTGCATGGAAGTGAGTGAATGCACCTGTTTTTTGAACAAATAGTGATATTATGCTATTATGTGAATAACAAGATATTGTATGAATTGTTTTAGTGTTTGCTTTTAGCGAAGATGTGATTTAAGGCAGAATTAGATATTTTTAACTTTTTGACTCAAATTTTGTCAAACATTAATAGCAATGAACGACAAACAAAATGTAAGTTTAGGCACCGATTCTGTTAAAAGTGAAAACTTAGCAAAAGAAAAGCATTCATTGAATATGTTGTGGAATAACTATCCGGAAGTGACAATACCTGTGCTATTGATTTGTATTTGTTTTATAAGTTTTCTGATATATTATGTGTGGAGATCTGTGCGAAGTCATCGGCACAAGAAGTCACAGCTGGAAGCGCTCACATCAAAGCCTTCCACATCTCATCTATACTCGGGAGTGAAAGCCTCGCAAACGATTGAGTTTGTCGTTCCGACGATTACATTGAAATGTACGGAACCGTCCTTTTCGGTCACCGAAGAGTCGGATTCCGATTATTTAATGCAAACGCCCTTTAATTGCGACCAAAGGTATCGCAAAAGAAACTCAAATATTCAGATCAACGAAAACGAAATCAGCAAAAATCTATACGAAGATATGCCCATCAAAGCCGACGAAAGGCCTGAAATCAATTTTGTGCTTCACTATAGTTTTGTTAGACAACAATTGCTTGTCGTAAGTGTTTTTCATATAGTTTTGCTAAACATGTTATAATAATTAATGACAAATTCAGTATTTATAAAATGTATGCCATATAAATGTTTAGTGAATTTATAACGTTTATATTTAATGACTTTTTATTCATTTAATCTCATGTTTAGACACTATTGTCAGCCAGAAATCTGTGCTCAAAACGTGGTCATCATTTGAATCCTATGGCAAAAGTAGTTCTCTTACCCGAAAAGAATCCAACATTTGTCACAAAAGTGCAGAAAAATACTGCAAATCCAGTATTCAATGATCTCTTCATATTTCAAGCAATAAGAGAAACTCTAAGCGACAGAGTATTAAAAATCAAAGTTTATAATTCGGACTCTTTCTCAAGAAAACATGTCATCGGAAGGACTTTATTCCCGCTAAAAATGGCTGATATTCACAGCGATATCAGTAAAGATGTTATGACTGAAGACATCACTTGTTTTCTTATAAATGTAAGTCAATTATAGGTATAATTCAAAGTGAATTTGCTTTACTATATTAGAAATAAATCATTATTAGAGCCGACCCTCGGGTGAAATCCTACTTTCTCTCGGATACGACACGAGTTCTTCGAGTTTTACTTTGGGTACTCTTAAAGTGAGGAATATATACGACAAAGAGATTGAAACAAGTATACAGTTGTTTGATTCAAATTAATAATACACTAACAATTGTGATCATATTTTAATAGTTTATATGAAAATCGTTTTATATGTCAAAAGAAAGCGCATAAGAAGTCGTAAAACAACTCTCCGAAAGGTTGTCTCCGAAATTGATTTCAACGATACATTTCAAGTAAATGTAGCTAAAGAGGCACTCAATGATGTAATTACTATATTTGTTATGCAATTTAAAATTTAATATTAAATATATGATTTATATTTTATAGTTAGTTATAAGTATCGCTGTCTACGGAAAATCACATACATTTGTGAATAAGCATCTGTTGGGACGAACACATATCGGACAGTCGTGTCCATCAGCACAGGGCAGAGATCACTGGTCAGAAATGTGCTCTGATTTTACTAATCCTGTTAATCAATGGCATATATTTTCATAATTATTTTTGTTTGCATATAATAATTGCTTCAAAAGTTATTAATAAGAGTTTCAAACAATTTAATTATTGTTAAGTTTTTATTGTTTTATTTCTGAGAATTTTACATCAAATTATAATAAATAAATTAT